ATGTTTCTCTTTTTTTTCTTTTTCTTCCTTTTTTTTTTCTTCGAAATAAAAGCTTACCATCCTGTGACTTTAAACGTAGAATTTACATAGGATCGCGTAAAAGAGGGTAAGTTACGCTTGATAAACTCATGAAATCCTTCAGTGATGTCTCTAGATCCGATCCTGTCCGTTGCTGTCGGCCCAACTAAACCCATTCTCAACTCTCTCAACGATATACAACGATTACCCGCACGAAGAAGGGATGCTTTTCGAGTTTACAAACACAGTCGCTGCCCGGTTATTATCCGGTAACTCTGGTGTTTTACATGTTATGAGGATACATGAAAGAGAGAGAGAGAGAGAGAAAGAGAGAGAGAGAGAGAGAGAGAGAGAGAGAGAGAGAGAGAGAGAGAGAGAGAGAGAGAGAGAGAGACGGCCCGTTACCTGCGACCTTCAATCTTACGTTATTACGCTCCGTTGAGCTCCCGAGGCTACTAAACCTTCGTCCATGCCCCCGTTGCTCCACATATGTCGGATCGCGCGCTACCGCGAGCAACAGTGTGCATGATTTTACATAAATTTCACGAACCGAAACGCCTTTCAGAATGGACCGACGTCATTTCCTGAGTTAAGTGGAAAATGGGAACGTACGTGATAAATTTAGATTCTCCGTAGTTCTCAGCACTTGCAAATATTATGTCGAATTAAATTTTATATATTCCCGTTAGAAACGTATGTATACTCTCAGCACTCCTCGCCCCGCCCCCGCCACCGACCCCTCCCCCGTCCCCGAATACACACACACATACACACACACGCGCGCGCGATGTTAATCACACGATGTTAAATAATATTTATACGAAAAAAAAAATTTTTTTTTTCAATTCTCTTTTATATAATCTTTCCTTTTCGATCTCTTAATAAAAAAAAAAAAAAAAAAAAAAAAAAAAAGAAATACAAACGAATGTTTCTTATTATTCTTATTTCGTTGTAAACAAAATGAGAACTATCGTTAGTTTTAATAAAAAAAAAATATTTCGCCATGTGAAAAAATTTCTCGAATTATATTTCGATATATCTACAATTCAACCCCAACAATCAGTCATATTTCATAAAATACACGAGTTCAAATACGCGTTAATCGTGTCGAAATAGAATCCGGTTTACTAGCATGATTTATTTCAACGTCAGGTCGATCTAATCAAGCGTGTTTTGACACATCGTTCCCACCCACTTTCTCTTTCTCACGCACGCACGCACGCACGCACGCACGCACGAGAGCTCGCTATTAAGTGCATTAGCACTCGTTTAATGACGCCGAGATCGCATTTATGGGGTTCTTCGTTCCGCTATGGGGCTTAGAGCGCAAGAGAGAGGTGGGTGTGTCTAGTTGCGTTCCTCGCGCGTGCTCGACACGTGCCTCCTGCACGAGCCAAAAAGAAGAGAAGATATCAAATATTCATCTTCCCTTTTTTTATTAACATAATCCACGATTGACAATTTCAATCTGTATGGCATTGTCTCAAGAAAAAAAGAGAAAAAAAATTATATATATATATATATATATATATATATATATATATATATATATATGTCGACAATTTTAATATAATAAATAAAATAAATAACAAGTATACGTAAAATGATTAATTTCATAGGATCGTTCAAAAAAAAAAAAAAAAAAGAAAAAAAAAATCTAATCGAAACTATTTGTCAAACGAAATTGAAATTATTTCAAGGAGGAAACATTTTAACCAAATAGAAGGAAAAGAAGAAAAAAAAAAGGAAAGCAAATAAAACTAAAACAATGAATAGGTATTGTTCCGTTTCTCGTATTGTCTTTTCCTTCTCTGGCATCATGGTCAATTAATAGGAGTCATTTATAAGGGCAAACCGGGGAATCTGGGAATCCGCAATCCGCCCCGTGGCAATAAATCTCAAGTCGGCGAGCGCGGAATGGAAGTGGAACCCCTCTTGTAAGCTGCTTGTATTGTAGCTATTACCGAGCCATGCATCACTAGGTAACAACCACATGGTTCACTATCCCTCCCACTTCTCGTAGGATAAGAGAGTAGAACGAGAAAGAGAAAGAGAGATGAACGAAAAGACAAGGAGCAAAAGTGAAACGTCTATCTCTCTCTTTCTCTCTCTCCCTCTTTCTCTCTCTCTCTCTCTCTCTCTCTCTCTCTCTCTCTCTCTCTCTCTCTCTCTCTCTCTCTCTCTCTCTCTTCTATCTGGGAAAAGACGCAGCTGATATCGTGTACGGACCACCCAGGTGTTCCTGATCGTAGTTGGCATTTTCCATGAAAACTAAAGCTCTCTCACATGGTCAAACTATCTCTTCGTGTTGCATTACAATTTAGTCATAATATTTCATTATCAAAAACTGTTCATATATTACGTGTCAAATACATTTTAATAAATAATAATAACCAATAAAAATTATATTGAATAAATGCGATACAAATAAATTGTATTTGAATAATATTTTATATTTGTTCTTTAAAAATGGTATATAATTGAAATTGGGTTAATCAAATGTATAGATCGAATTAGGTTAAATATCGATGGTGTACGTTAGATGATGATAGAAAAGAGGTGAAATGGAATTGCAGTTTTAGCTCACAGAGAACGTTTGAAAATAGTCGATGGTTGCGTATCGATGACGGTAGAGAACGGAAGGAATGAAAAGGGAAGGAGAAGGAAGATGAAGGGGGGAAAAAAATGGATAGGAAAGTTTGCGAATGAGCCGGAAGAGAGGAGAGAACGGAGTATCTCGGCGTGTGCCTACTAGAAAGAAAGAAAGAGAGAGAGAGAGAGAGAGAGAGAGAGAGAGAGAGAGAGAGAGAGAGAAAAGAGAGTATAAACTCGCAGAGGACGGCGATATCGGAGGGTGGCAGAGGGTGGATGACGGAGGGAGCCTGCCGTCTCCTCGCGCCCTCACCGGGCACTATAGTAACAACACGGGGAAACATAGGGAAATCAATATGGCTTCCGTTGCCTTCTTCCCTCTCACCTCTCTCTTCGCTGGCTCGCTCTGCGTTCTCACTCTCTATCTCTCTTTTGGCTCTGCTCTGACCCTCTTTTTCCTTCTCTCTCTCTCTCTCTTTCTCTCTCTCTCTCGCTCTCTCTCTCGCTGTCTCTCTCGGTCTCTCTCTCTCGCTCTCTCTCTCTAAGCCGAAACCGCAGCTTTCTCTTCTTTCATCGTACTCTCTTACTCTCTTACTCTATGTAATAAGTATGTACTGATATCCATAGAGACATATAGACATATATGTATATACGTAATATATATATATATATATATATATATATATATATATATATACCGACATATAGATATTCGTATGTATAAATGTGTATATGTATGTCTATCCTCTTCTCCCACGAGCTTCGTTCAGACGGGTGAACCCATTATGAGGGGGTGTTACTCCGAGCCAATCCTCAACCATCCGGAGAGAGGAATAGGAGAGGCGAGAGAGTCGAAGAAGGGCGCATGTGCGTTGCCAGGGCCACCGTGTACCTCGCTTCGCACGATGTCACCATTACGAATCAAACACCCGTTATACGCGACCATGCTCTTCTTGTATTATATCGTTGAAGGAGATACTACAGTTTTCTTTTTACTATATCGTTATTTACGATATACGATATACGACATATGTAAAACTTCATCAAAGTTAACTGGAATATTGTAATTTTAGCCTGAAATTGTTGTAGCGAATGTTAAATAATATCTAAATTTATTATTTAGGACATTGCGCAAGTGTAATTTGAATTTAATCAATGAATAATAATTATGATCCTTGCTCTGTTTAATTTCGTAGAATTGTTATTCTTTCATATGTTTTGAATTAGAAATTAAATTAAATTTGAATTCAATTTATAATGGCAAATCAATTATCAAATAAATATTTTATAATTCATTGAAACCTAATCCTATCCATGGTAGGATCTATTTAGTTTTTATTCATTTGATGACAATATCATAGATTTTAATCTTAAAAAACTATATTTATGATACTTTTATTTTTTAGACCATCCAAAGATTTAATGTAATATTTTATGTCCATTCAAATTCGTAAAGGAAAAAGAAAATATTTAAATTAATAATTATTTAAACATAAATACTTGTGTTCTTGTTCGACGATCGAGTCAATGATCGTCTAGCGGACAAAAGCAGAAACAAGACTGATATCGAAATAGTCGGTATGTTAGATTACTTCTTATCAACATGGATGAATTCCTAACTGTAGATCATGTAGGAAACTGCAATTACCAACAATTGAAATTGGGGATAACGTGGAATAAAAGAATGATAAAGATTATTAAATGAAATTTGATAGCGAATCAATTTAACTTTATCTAAATATTATATGTAAAATGAAGTGAAACATTACTATAAAAAGAATATATTGAATCGTATCCTATCTTAAAACTATATGACAGCAGTCGATATAACAGAATGCTATAATGTCGGTGAAGAAGTTTATCAACGGTCGGTAATGTCAAATAAATTTATACTAAAATAAACAAATATAAATAAGAAATATTTTTAAATTAAAATTTTTTAATTTAAAAATATTTTTAAAAATAAAATCAACAAATTTCGTTCGATACACAATATTAATATTTTCAACGTCAATAATGTAGATTTTAAAACATCAATAACATAACAATCTTGGACATAATATATAACTTTATTATATGATATACAATATGTCACATATAACAAAATTTATATATATATATATATTCGAATGTTCCAAAAGTCATAATTTATATATAAATAATATGTGTGTTATATATATATATATTATATATAAATACATGAAAGGCAAAATTATAAATCGAATAGAACGAAAATCTAATTGAATATATCCGTTATATTTTTTTCTAAATACTTTCATAGCTAATTCCACAGACATAGGTTTCTTATTCGTATTTGAAATTTCAATACTGATCATTTAAGGTCATGTTTATCTACATTTGTCAAAGTCCAAGGTGACATTAGAATTAACCGATGAAGAAAAGAGGATACTTTGAGTTTATAATATGCTTCAGTTGTTGATTGATATCGTAACAGTTAGGACCATTGTAAAATATATTATTAAATTTGGCGATATCATAACGAAAGTGTGATATATCTGAAAAGAACAAATTTTAATTACAGGTAAATTTTATAATATTCTTATTTCTTGTAATACAAAAAAAAAAAAAATCTATTACGATTAAAATCAATTAAAACGAATTCAAATTTCATAATAATAATTGTGGCGACGACCATTTTAAAATGATATACGACAGGAACTTAATTTTTATACGAATATAATTTGTTTACGATCGATATAATAGACATGTACGAATTATTATATGTATATACGATATTACAAAGGTGTGAATAATTTTCTAGGAAAATATTACAGAAGAGATATATACAAAAACGACATATAAAGAAGCAACATATAAAAAGGAATTTACACAAATATTTATATAAAAAAAAAAAAAGAAAAAGAAATAAAATGGCATTAAGTTTAGCATTACCATTATCCGGAATAGAAGCCGAACATTTTTACGCACTAGGAATGAGAATACTATATGAACAAGGTTTAAGAACATTAAATGGGATTGGACCTATATCACCCAGTATTGGAAGTGAATCCAGTGGCATTAGTAGTCTCACTCCTTCTCTGGAACCTGATTTTATAGCGAATAATCCCAATTCTACAGCGCCTTCATCACTTGCTAATTCCGCAGAAGATTCGGGACAAGGCGATAGATTAAATGACATAGAAATAGTAAGTATAATTAATATCATTGCTAATTCGAAAGTTAATTGAAAAATAAAAAAAAGAAAAAAAAAAAAAAAAAGAAAAAAGAAAAGAAAAAAATCACTTTGATAATTCTTCCGTCAATCCTTTCAGATAAATGTTCCATGTAAAGTGATCTATTGCGGGCGAGACATATTAAACTTAGGTGCAAATATGCGAGAACCATCCTGGCGACTATTGATCCCATATACTTGCAACCATAATAATGTCACGGACAATAACTCGAATTATCATCTTCTAAGCGAAAAAGCACTGACTGAAGAATATCCAATGGTAAACATAATTATAATCCCTTTCTTTCTTTCTTTCTTTCTTATTTCTTTTTTCCTCTTTCTTTTTTTACATTTAATTACGATGAAAAGTTTATATACAAAATATTTTATCGCGAACGAAGGATTTGTCTTTATATCAAAAAGTTGTTTTCCTAGATTGAGAAAGTTACGTTTTCGAAATTATATTATTTACATTCGTATAATTAAACGTTCATTTTAATATTACTATTTCTCATGTTTTCACCTTGGAATGTTGTGACCTCTAATATCACATTGTTTCCAAACTTTCAAGGTTTCAAAAGTATACAGAAATATTGTTGAATTTATACCGTCAATGTCTCGCTTGAATCTCGGTCGAATAAGATATTTTCTTTTCCGTCTTTTTTTTTTCTTTCCTTTTTTTTTTCTTTTTTCTTTTCTTCCATTCTTCTTCTTAAATTTATAATTTGTTATTCTAAATCATTGGCTTTTCGTCGATCTCGTTTCTTAGATTTTTATATGGCCATTCTAAATTCTCGGACTTTTTCAATTTATAAAGGTTATAAAATGCAAGCATCAAGATAAACATCGTGATGGTACTACACTTAACGAGCCAATATTTTCCCCAATAATGTACGTAAGGGAATTGAATGATCTTAGATGTCAATTTGTACGGAAATTTTACAACATTTTTATCAACGTTCGTTGACGAAGATAAACCATTTAATATCATCTTGATTTCCATTATACTCTAAAAGATAAAATCATTGTTGTCGAATCGTTAATTAAATTACTCGATATTTCAAAAGATTATTGTTCACATAATTTTGACAATTTTCTTTTGAAATTCGTACTTCGAGCTTTTTTAATTTCATCGTAAACTCGACGACATCGCTTCGACAAATAATTCTGCATTTTGTGATGAGCGTTCAATAATTCAAAGTTTCTTCCTTTTTGTTTCTTTTTTCTTTTTCTCTCTATCTCTATCTCTCTCTCTCTCTCTCTCTCTCTCTCTCTCTCTCTCTCTCTCAAATTATTGAAAAATGTGAAGAGGTTATAAAAGACTCGCAGTCAACTTTGTCGATCGTTTACAATTTTAATAACAACTTTGCATTCTTTCGAAGATCACACATTGCAGAAACTATATATATATATATACACATATATTATATAATTGATATATATATATATATATAGATATATAGATAGATATAGATGTAGATATAAATATATATATATATATAGAAATATATATAGTTATATGTATGCCCTCCCATATATGTATATATATATATATATATATGTATGTATATATATATATATATATATAAATATATATATCCCTCCCCCTATACATCTATATATCTATATACCTATATATCTATATATTTATATATTTATATAGAGTGTTCATGAATGATTATCCTAATTTAATCAATTTATAATATTTTACTGATGTAAATAACATGTTGAAATAACACCTTTACGATTAGAAACTTTATGTGTAATATATCACTGATGTATAAATTTTTGTTTCATTACAAGTATGCAATAAAGAATTATAATATATTTTAATCAGGGTAATCATTTATGAACATCCTGTGTATTAAAGAAAAGCAAAAAAAAAAAGAAAAAAAGAAAAAAAAGGAAAAAAAGGAAGGTGAACGTATCAAAATTAAAAGCATGTAGCAACGAAAAAATATTTCCAATTTCTCTCGATAACTTTTAATCTCAATCTTTTTCGATTTTTCTTTCCACAGAAAAAATGCTCAGACTGCGGCTTCTCTGAATTATCACTTTCTTCCTGTTTTTAATACTATTCCGATCTATCACACAATCGCCAATGAAATAAGTTAAATATTATCAATAGTATGACACAACGACATCAAAGAACAATTGCTTTAGAAAAAAAACAACCATTAAAAAAAAAAGGTTTTGTTATTTTGTCATTTTGTTATACGACAGACGTAGTAAACTTTTACTTTCTGATATATTGTTTTATGTTATAAAATAAACTTGAAACAGAATGTTATTGGTTTATATACTCGTCAATCGTATACAAAAAGAGAAAATAATTATGGCAAATTCTGAGGCGGCGACCAACTCCAAAAAAAAGTTAACTATTAAATACAGTTAATAGTTAACTCAAACCAATGAAATAGCACATAAATAGATTTAAAAAAAAAAAAAAAATAATTTTAAATCCATAATATACGAATATATATTGATTTTAAAGTTGTAAAATTTTTTACAATTTGTAAAAATTTTACAAATTAATCTCAAATCCATATAATACGATTAGAAATATCTATACCAAAAATAAATCCAAAATATTGAAGTAAATTATTTATAATATATTCGTACATATATTTGAAGTTAGATATCGTTCTCATACGAATAATAATATTTCAAATGAAATAAAATTAAATATTTCTTATGAAATAAAATTAAATATTTCTTATGAAATAAAATTATACATATATATATATATATACAAATGCTTTATAAATACCTATCAATTTATAAATTTATACGGAGTCGGGTGTGGGCCGCGAAAAATTAATCATAAGATAGTAATTATTCGTATATAATTAACACCCGACAATAAAATACATCAATTACAGAATATTTTACGAAATTTCATTAATTTTTGATATTATAACATTTTCATGACAATAGCCTGAATTTACATATAACAATTATAGTTATTTTTTCGAATATAAAACAGTTTTTTAACATTTTTATTTGTTTTGCAATTAAACATTCTTCCGAAACTATATAGCCGGGTGCTTAAATATTAATAGAATATTACTATTTTATTTAAAAATATTTATTAATTAAAATAATTGTAATATATATATATATATGTGTATATATATATATATATCGAATTCTACAATATTGCCTTTGACATAATTTATAATATAAATTCTGCATTCTCTTTGCTTTGTAAAATATTTTAAAATTCTACAAGATGGATCAAAGATTACTTTATAGAACAAATATTCCTAGATGATCTTAAATATTATTTTTATTCTTTTCTAAGGATTTTTTAACTTTATTTAAAAATTTTTACGAACAAAGATAAAATAAGTCGAAAAGTTTTGCAAGAAAAGAGTAATTAATATGTAAAATCATCTATATATTTTAGACCAATTTATGAAACTTTAATCCACATTGTAGTATTTATTATAAAATTAAGAATCAATACGCTTATTGTTATAATCTACTGATCTAGTCATAAATGTTCAAAGGATCTAGTCAGAAGATCTAGTCAATAATACAAGCAACCTCTGATTAATTGTAAGATAATGATTATACAATAATTAAAGAGAGAAACGAGACTGAATTCGTTTATGCGATTATTAGATTATAACGTGAAAAAAATTAATTCCAGGAACGTTATGAAAATCGAATTATAATAATGGAATAGGTTTAAGTAAATATTTTTGTTTTCTTTTTATAATAAGTAATTAGAAACTAAATGTGCGATATTTACAGCAACAATCAAAGATAAACGTAGTTTTACAATTTAAACTGTTTATTAGCAGTTACATTGTAAAGATTAAGATCTTATAATCGCGGTTTAAACAAAAAAAAAAACACAAAAAATTATAGTTTAAAACTAAACCAGTAATATATACAAATGAATAAAAGAGAGAATAAATGAAAAATTAGATAATTAGAATAGGATTAATCGCGTTTAGGAATAAGATATTTTGTAAGTTTTACAGGATAGATCAAAAGTTCATAGGTGAAGTTTTTAAATACATTTAAAAATCAATTAATTTTTTCTAAAACTTTGTCGATGAATGTTTTACAATTTTTAAATTCCTTCAAAATTGTTTACCATTATTAGCCTAAAATGTTTTGAAAAATATTAAAAGATTTTAAGAATTATTAAAGAACTTTCGCCACGAACTTTCAATTCATCTTGTAAAATAAATAACATATTGTATATTGTATATAATAATAGGATTAATGATTAGGATTAATTAAAACGTGTCAATAGGCATATCGATGAATTCGATACTTCGTAAAGAGAGAAAAAAAACAAAAAAAAAATAAAAAATAAAAAAAAACAAGGAAAAAAAACCAGAAAAAAAAACCAGAAAAAAAAAGAAATTCCGCATGAAAACGTAGACTTACAACGTGGACTTACAACGTAGGATTTACGTAGTAAAGAATTAAAAGAAATAATTAAATTGCTCTAATATATTAAATCATTCTGATGTATATTAATTATCGAAAAGATAACATAAGTGTAGATACACTTATTAGTAAATGTAATACTACGTAATGCTATATCGTGATGCGTCTTATAGGGAATTTAAGTGAATAAAGTAGTTGAAGAATAATTTTTTATTAGTAAAAATTTAATCGAACGTTCGATTTAGTTATAAATTCATTTTTATAATTGTAATTTCGATTCTTTTCTTCTTCAGTGTTTGTTTCTCTTATCACGCGATATAAACTTTTTATTTCATTATATTTTTTTATCATTATACTATTGCAATATCACTTTTTATCCATTATAATTTCAATACTTTCAATTCTGTCATTCATATGTTATTAATCTATTAGAATTCGGTTATAAAAGATTGATAACAATTATTTTTTATTTTCTCTATATCCAACAATTTCGACAATAATTTTTATAAAGTTAATCGCGAATAGAAAGACTAGATTAATTCTGATTAGATCAATTAAAATTTTTTTACTTCACGTTAAATTCGTACCAACGTGAAGTACACCGTAAACATTAAACACGATACACTTTACAAGCATATCCATTGTATATAATATATTTTCTATAATACGTAGTATGTATTAATGACAATGCGCATCACAAATTAATTTGACTATTGTTCATGATATTACAATAAATAATAATAACAACAATAATACCAAATGTAGTACTAATTTTTGAAAACATCAGATTATCTCTGTCGAAAATTAAACTTCGAATTATACGATCGTAAAAAGATTTCGAAAAAAAAAAGAGATAGAAAGAAAGAAAGAAAGAAAGAAAGAAAGAAAGAAAGAAAAATTAATTGTTTTGATCACGAAGTGATAGAAGTTTCAAAACATTTGTAGAATCCGAAAAGATCAATGACAATAATAATCCGAAAGAAAGAGGGATCATCCTTAAAAAAAAAAAAAGAGAAAAAAAACAAATCATTTATAAGAACAACCGTGAAAATCGAATCATCATAAAACCCTCGCCCTAAGCCCTATAAAATATTGGAAACATATGTCATACCATAGATACCATAAATCTGAAGCCACTGAGAAGGATGTGTTCTTAATAAAAATTGTGAATTCTTGCATGCGCTTGATCACATTCGATGAAGGTTTTAGACGAGTCCTTTTGGTATGAAAGGTCCTTTATTAGAGAGAAAGAGAAAAAGAGAAAAAGAGAGAGAGAGAGAGAGAGAGAGAGAGAGATCGTGCGCTCGCGCACTATACAGGCGTGCGTTTGAAAACGCGTGAACGTGAGCGCGTAGGTGCGTGCACAGCGCGCGAGAGATGTGCACGACGACTATTCAGATATTGTTGTTATTGTTGAGAGAACAATCGCCCGTCAATAGGCAGCCCCGGCACAATGTATCTATTCAGGTGCGGTCAGGGGTGCTCAATCGATCGAGCTCCTGCTTTTGCCGATCGACGAATGAAGGATCCGCGAAAGAAATGAAGGAAACTCTCAATGGCGACTAGCATGTTCCTTCTCTCACTCTCACTCTCTCTCTCTCTCTCGCTCTCGCTCTTTATATTTATCTCTCTATCTCTATCTCTATCTCTTTCTCTTTCTCTCGCAAACTTGTCGCCAACCTCGAGGAAGACGATGTCGTTTCGAAATCACTGATCGGAAGTGAATGCAACGTGGACTTTGTGAAAGATCGAAGGTCTCATTCTCTTGTAACTTTCTTCGATATTTTCCAAATATATCAAAGACAAGCGACAACAAAACTTCACTATCTTTAAACGATGACACACGAAATGTCGAAAGAAGTTAATTTTCGTTATCAGAGAATATATATATATATATGTATATAATTATCTCGTATCAGAGATAGGATAATTATAACAATATAATTTCTTGATTAAGAGACTTTTCCTCTTAGCAATCGAAATAATGACAATACTGTGTCAAATTGGTAGAAATGTTAAAAGAAGTTAACTCACGGCATCAAAAAATATATATGTGTATATAATTATCTCGTATCGTAGATAAGATAATTATAACAATATAATTTCTTGATTAAGAGAATTTTTTTCCTAGTGATCGAAAAAATGCAATATCGTGTCTAAAGAAGTTAACTCTCGTCATCAAAAAATATATATGTGTATATAATTATCTCGTATCGTAGATAAGATAATTATAACAATATAATTTCTTGATTAAGAAAATTTTTTTCCTAGTGATCGAAAAAATGCAATATCGTGTCTAAAGAAGTTAACTCTCGTCATCAAAAAATATATATGTGTATATAATTATCTTGTATCAGAGGTAGGATAATTATAACAATATAATTTTTTGATTAAGAGGATTTTCTTCCTAGTGATCGAGATAATGTCAATAACGTGTTAAATAGATAGAAACGTTGAAAGGTATTAATTTTCGTTATCAGAAAATATATGTAAACGTATATATAATTTCGTGTTTATCAAAATTTTCCTTCTGGCGATTGTGATAGTTTAATACAGTATCAAATACGACGAAATTTTGAAAAAAATTAAGTCTTGTTATCCGAGAGTATACATATAATATACATATATATATATATATATATATACATATATATATATATATGTATATGTATATATATAGTATTGGAAATAATTATAACATTATAATTTCATGATTAAGAGAATTTTCCTACCGGCGATCGAGAGAATGCAATACCTTGTCAAATGGGACGACAATTGAGCGCGTATATCAGTGATAGCTTACAATTATTATCGGCCGCCACGGTAGTATTTAAATGAATGAACGGCTCGAAATTACCATCCGGTCTCATCGTCGACTGCGCACGTTATGAGTATTTGCGGGTCACCTATTCGCTGATAGTGCTTTCTATTTACTTTATCCTTGAATCGAAAAGATGTTATTAAACATATTAAAAAATATTTCCATAGATATTGGTTCAATGTTGATTGTAAGAAATAATAAAATCCTGATTCTTCATTCTTGATTTCTCCGAACTCAATGATACTTTGATTAATCGAGAATGAAGAGGTGATATCGATATAAGGGAGGTAAAGAGGGGGATTCTACATGAGAATGTAGGAATGAGAACCACTGTTTTGCGAGTGCACCAGGGTAGCGTGCCCATAGCGATGATTACGTATGCGGGAATCATTGTCGAGTAACGCGCGATGCACATGCAAAGGCCAAAAATCGTCGAAATCAGTCGAGTTCAACATCAGCATTGTACGTAGCCTTTGTCTCTGGCTCATTGTTGTCGGTAGCCGATGTACAAGCTACACAGAGGAGCACACACACACACACACACACAAAAACGTACGTACGTATGTACATATATACACACATAGATGGCGCAGCCACATCGTCGCGATGCGGTGCAGAGCGGTGCGGAGAGATGGACGGCAACGGGTCCACGGGAAACGAGCGGTATCCTTCGAAATTTTCTCTTCATCGTACACACAGGACGAGTACGTATATATGTATATGTGTATATATACACACACACACATATATATATATATATCATGT